AATTCCGGCAAAGGTAAATTACATTTTTTTTAAAGGAAGGAAGGGAGAGAGAGAGCAACGGAAATAAAAGTAATGTGCTTTCAATTTCAGCGTCTTAGGCTGTATGCCATTTGATCTCTCAGTCTTTTCTCACATATTCTTCCCACACACTCAGGCCTTTGTAGCCTATCAGCTGGGGAGCATTCAAAAAGAATTGTCCAGATCATAGCAATCATCATGTTCTCCTGTTCACTTGTCAGTTCGTTACTTAAACCAATAGATCAGGGCTATAGCCTACCAATGAATGGGTTGTCATTTAGGATACTTAGCCAACAGTCATTAGTGTTATTCATTTAGACAGATCGCCTGAGTGGTGCTGTGATTATATATATTTTTTTCAATAGGCGTGTGAGTGACGGCGTCAACAACACCTTTCTCTTGTGTCTTATGTGTTAGTCCATCGTTCACCTCATTTCAGTATCCTTCAGTTCAATAGTCCATCTGTCGTACATCGTTTTGAGAGGCATGTAGTCTAACACAGTTCATTCATTGACATCTCCACCGTTCTCCTTGCCCAGGTTATCTAGGAATCGGGTAGCTTGTTTTGCCGAATTCAGTGTGATGTCTCTTTCCTTCCATTTGACCCGTAGTTGTGCCGGGGTACACCAAAGAGAACCTGATTCGTTTTTTTCTTTATGGGGTCATTCTCTGCGTTTCCTGTAGAGCAGTGGTTCCCAATCCGGGGCCCGTGTGCGCCAGAGTTCACGGGGGGGGGGGGGGGGGGGGGGGGGGGCGTGATCTCATTTGCTTTGAGGTCAAACATGCATAAAATGTTGCACTATAATTTAGTTGTTAAAATTAATAAATTAAAAAATATTATTAAAAATCATATGCTTGCAATGCCAAGGCCAATCTAAAAAAAATAACAATAATGACAGAGAAACTAAAAAAGCGGTAATTCCCCGGGAAAAAATGTGTGCACGTCAATGACCCCCCGCGCTCAATCAGTTTCAGCTAGCAGCTCGTTTTTCCTGCAGTCAGAGCATCACTATTTTATGAATAAAATAACATGTCTAAGAAAAAGAAGAAGAAAGAAACATAAAAGAAAAAAGTGGAAAAAAAACGTAAAAGTGCTGATGAAGAAAGTAAGAGTTATCTTAGCTTCGGTTTCATTGAAGGACAGGACTCGGCCAGAATGGGTCATTTGTGGCGAGAAGCTAGCTAATGACAGCATGAAGCCAAGCAAAATGCAACGACACCAGGAAACAAAACACCAGGAGACTGTTGGTGAAGGTCAGGATTTTTTTTGAGAGGAAGAAGCAGTTGGCACTATCAAAAAGATCCACAGACATCAGAAAAGCATTTGAAAGAGCAGGCAGTGATTTACACAGAGCCACGGAGGCGTCATTTGAGTGTTCGCTATTAATTGCCAAGGCTAAAAAGCCGCACAATATTGGAGAGCAGCTAATCAAACCCGTCTGCTTGAAAATTGTAGAGAGGCTGTGTGGCCCACAGGTGGTGGATAAAGTGAGAACCGTCCCACTCTGACAACACTGTCAAAGACAGAATTGTTCAAATGACTGGAGATTGTCAAAACCAGCTGCACGAGAACCTTAGGAATGTTCCCTTTTGCCATTCAGTTGGATGAAACAACAACAGTGTCAGACCAATCCGTGCTCATCGTTTATGTGCAATATATTGACGGTGATGACTTGAAACAAGACATTCTTATGTCTACCAATCTAGCCACAACAACAACAGGCCAAGATATTTTGTATAGCTATGGACTTATGTCTCTCGTCCAACAATCTGCCCTACGAGAATATTGTTGCATGCTGCACTGATGGGGCTACAGCGTTGATGGGCAAAAACAAGGGATTTAACAGCCGATTGAAGGAAAAAGCCTGGGGTGTGCAATTTTCCACTGCATGCTACATCGCCAAGCATTGGCCAGTAAAAAAACTTTCGGAGGACCTTAGTAACACCCTGGCAACTGTTGTAAACTTCATTAAGGCTCGCGCTAGTCACAAGAGACTGTTTGCCCAGCTGTGTGAGGATGAAGCGCATCAAACACTGCTGTTACACACAGAGGTACGCTGGTTGTCACGTGGACAAGTGCTTGTGCGTTTTATGGAACTGCAGGAAAATATAAAGGAATTCTTGCAAGATCACAATCGATCACTGTGCGAACAGCTGACTGATGCGTTTTGGATCAAAACAGCATACCTAGTGGATACATTCACTCTCTACAATGAGACAAACAAGCGGATGCAGGGTCCTGAATCAAATGTCATGCAGTGCAAAGACGCTTTTGTGCGGAAACTGGAGTACAGAGTTGGAAAAATGTCAAAAGGGGAGCTACAACAAATTCCACTGCTGATGAAACAGTCTGGTGGCACTGTGCCTGCACATGAACATGCTTCGGGAGGAAATTAAATCCAGTTTTGCCAATGTTGACGAATACTTATCAAAGGAATCGTGGGTGATGGACCCTTACATTTGCAGTCATCGAGGACGTGGAATACCTCGGCTGTGAAGATGAGCTTGCTGACCTTCAAGCCGATTCTGTGTCAAATAAATATTTCCACGAGAACGGATACAAAAAGTTTTGGATTGTCAAAGGACACGCTGTTGCACCCAGACTAGCCAAACACGCAGCTACAAGGGTTATTCTACCATTCCTGCACTACGTACCTGTCTGAGACGGCCTTCAGCGCGCTTGGAACAATAAAAACAAAAGGCCGTAACCATGTCAACCAGGACTTTAGGCTGGCTGTCACTAGCATCACACCTGACATCCCATCCCTGGTCAGAGGTATGCAGGCCCCAAGGTGGCCATTAGTTCTTTAAGGAAGGAAAAAGTTATTGATTGTAACTTACTGGGGGCGGCAGGTAGCTTGTGTCATGCAAATTTTTGCTTTTTGAGACCCGCGGAAACAATTTTGAAAACAACCACCACAACCTGTAAATTCAAGAAAAATTGCCGCAAGAAAGCTGCACCGCTCCGTCAACAGGACTTGGTGTTTATTGTTGGACGAATTAGGTTGTGAAATCCGACTTTTTGTCATCAAGGCAAAGGGTGGCTATTTGAAGAATCTAAAATCTCAAATATATTTTGATTTGTTTAACACTTTTTTGGTTACTACATGATTCCATATGTGTTATTTCATAGTTTTGATGTCTTCACTATTATTCTACAATGTAAAAATGTGTCAAAAAAAAAAAAAAAAAACTTGAATGAGTAGGTGTGTCCAAACTTTTGAGTGGTACTGTATGTGCTCTCCTGTTATTCAAATCAATTTTTGGTTTTCAATTCAACTGTCTTTCATTGTCTGACTGCCGACAGACTGCGGATAGATACTTATCACAGTCGGAGGCCGTTCCTTCTCTTGCTAGAACAAAAGACGTAACTGCTGTGTACCGATGAACCTGACTTTGCCTGACAACTTGACTTTGAGCCAATCAGAGAGCACGAACCTCCATGTGGGGGAGCCGACAGGAGTGACAAGAAAAAAGGAAAAGAAGAGCCCTTTTCTACCTAAAACAATAAAGCTGCATAATATATATATTTTTTTCTAGAGCAAGTCTTTACATATTTTATGTCTAGCTAAGTGTTTTGTGTTTGAAGGAGGATTTGTTGTTAGGTTTGATAATTTACATTAATTAGCTTATTAGTTAGCTAGCTAGCTAGCTGATGTTAGCTTGCTAATTGAGCAAGGCAGTCACACACACTTCATATGCTAGCACAACAGCTAGCTAACGAATCATGATAACCATTTAGCTCACTTTAACCAGCTAGCAAAAAAAAATGTATCTATGGGCTGTATGCGATTATGGAGAGTGGATTAAATTGTTTCTTTGTCATTTTGCTAGCTAGTTATCTAGCTGTGGTCATCTGACTAGTATCAACAAGGGCTTTCTACAACACTAGCACAGCTAGCTAACATTGACTAGACCATAAAGCAACACACACGGACATGCATTGCCAACCAACGCTACCTTCTGGTTTGGAGTATTTTAACAAGGCTTAGTGGTTGACGACTTCACAATCTTTGCTGTGTGAACACAAAAGAGATTGACTGCTGACCCTCAGCGATTGACTGCCTACACTGTTCAGAGGTGCTAAATTCTATCGGCAGGCGAAGATTTGACAATCCTACCGGTGTGTCTGAGCTATAACAGATATGACCATCTCTGTACATGAAACCGCTCGTATGTGAGGTGCAGCGCAGGAGCTATAGGAGGACAGGCTCATTTTAATGGCTGGAATGGAATTGATGGAACGGAGTTTCCATATGTTTGATGTGTTTGCTACCATTCCATTGATTCCATTCCAGCCATTACAATGAGCCCGTCCTCCTATAGCTCCTCCCACCAGCCTCCTCTGGTGCGGTGCGCATTTTAGAACGTAAATTGCATTTTGACTACATTCTGCATATGCCGTGTGCACTTTCCTGCACTTAAAATGTGAAGAATGATAGTTTTTCAACATTTTAAGCTAAACATTCTGATCTGTTCCATCAGCCTTATGAATTGATACTGTGTATACCACTACTCTGATACGCATCAGTGGGGATTAAGAATTGAGTACACGAAATGTCCAGTGAAAAAAAAAAAAGTGGTATACCCTCGTATAGCCTCCATTACACCACTGACTGTACGATTTGAGAAGGGCGCTCCTCCCTCACTGCTTTGGCCCGTTCGCATAACCGGACGTAAACCGCTGCACCGTGGTTCAGGTTAACAGAACTCCGTCATAGGCGGCATTTACAAAGGCAGGCCCAATTTTTTTCCACTAATTTAGTCTTTTGACCAATCAGCTCTGAAAAAGATCTGGTGAAAAGATCTGATGTGATTGGTCAAAACGACCAGTAAGTGGAAAAGAATTGGGCTGCCTCTATAGCACAGCTAAGGTGAGGCCACGTAATCAACCGTGTCATCCACTGACATGTGATGTGGTTAGCTGATACTTTACTTCAAATATCTATCAAAGGCGTTGTAAGATCTGTCAGACGTCAGCAATGTCTAAGCTTTGGAAAGTGGCCAAAGTCTGTTTGGCCCCAGCCACACACTCCCTCATTGTCTGTTTGGCCCCAGCCACACACTCCCTCATTGTCTGTTTGGCCCCAGCCACACAGGCTGTGTTTAGCCTCTGTAGCTCAATTGGTAGAGCATGGCGCTTGTAACGCCAGGGTAGTGGGTTCGATCCCCGGAACCACCCATATGTAAAAATGTAGGCACACATGACTGTAAGTCGCTTTGGATAAAAGCGTCTGCTAAATGGCATATTATTATATTATATTATACACAGGCAGCCCAATTCTGATATTTTGCCCCACGTTACTGGCAAAAGAGCTGATCTGATTGGTGAAAATACTAATTAGTAGGAAAAAGATCTGAATTGTGCAGCAACAGACGCATGAACATGTATGAAATCGAATATGCATTCATCAATAGTCTGTTTTTCTGTAAAATATTCAATTGAATTTGGTGTGTTTTTTTTTTGTCGTCGTACAATCATCTCTGTTGTTCAGCATACGTCAAACGGCTGACTCCCGTTGAAAAACAATTTACTCAATCCGGGAACAGGTGGGTAGAGTTCACTCTTTCAAACCATCTGATTGGTCCATGATGTGAGAGCTCCACCCTCCAGCAGCACACTAGCTGAATGAAATCAAGAGCCCCTAATCGCAATTGTGAAATTGAACCAATTGGAATGACGTCAATTGGCTGAAGGCTGAACATAATTAGCCAGCCAGGTTAGAAGGATCTGGGATTCCTTTATAAGGAGCAACCTAAACAGCTTTTATATATAGCAACAGGGATATTCTGGTAGGGTGTCTGTCTACTATTAGTTCTGGATACTGGTGCGGTTTTTGATCACTAAAATGTCTGTGGCTTTTGGACTCTCTTTGAGGTTAGTTTTTTCAATTTATTTATGATTGGTTTACCTTGTCTTAAAGTTTTCACTGGTAATTCTGTTTAACTGACTGTCTGGATGTTTTGTAGTGTTTCTTGGATTTGTTGCCTGCTAATTGGAGGGATAACCGGTTCTTTTACATTTAAAGGTGAGTTTGAGTTTGGCTAACATTAATTCAGTTAAAGTCCCAGTTGTATAGTTCCAATAGTTTAAGGCTATTTTACCACAACATTTTCTCTTGGTTTCCTGACCCAGAACCAACTGGATCCCATGCTCAAACAAGTGTGGTGTCGGGTCCAAATGCCACAGCAAACGCTACTGGCCAAAATGCCCCAGCAAGTGTGACGTCGGGTCCAAATGCCGCAACCGGCCACAACTACGGAGCAAATGCAACCAACAACCATGCCTCAGCAGCCTCTGCAGGGTCCCGCGCCTCAGCAGAAGCGGCAGGGTCCCGCGCCTCGGCAGAAGCGGCAGGGTCCCGCGCCTCGGCAGAAGCGGCAGGGTCCCGAGCCTCGGCAGAAGCGGCAGGGTCCCGAGCCTCGGCAGAAGCGGCAGGGTCCCGAGCCTCGGCAGAAGCGGCAGGGTCCCGCGCCTCGGCAGAAGCGGCAGGGTCCCGCGCCTCGGCAGCCGCGGCAGGGTCCCGCGCCTCGGCAGAAGCGGCAGGGTCCCGCGCCTCGGCAGAAGCGACAAGCCTTGAACAGACGGCCCAACCCCTCAACAAGCTAGATGGGGAGCTTCTCACTTGGTTTGCTGAACTCCTCAATCGTCTGTCCTCTGTCACTTTGCCTCCTTTCGACAAAAATGTCAAAAGTAACTGAGGTGAGGAAATGTGCAAACTAATGTGCTTGTATGAAATGAGGATGTCCTTCACTTGTGTATCGTCATGAAAATTATGTTTACAGTGTTGGATGCTACAATGGTGTTTTTTATGACCATACAACTAAAATTGACATCTGCTTTGGCGTTATTGCTGACGCCATTTTAGGTTGTACGGTCTTGCTATTGTGTTGGCCAGGAAGTTGCTGGTGCTCCTGCTACTCTTACATGATTTGATCAATAAACAATTTGACTTTCACAATGCCTCGTCTTTAAAATGGAGGGTTCTCTTCTGCCCACCATGTGCTTGTTGATTGGGAACATACTGGGTTTGTAGTAAAAGGGATTGTGGTTCACAATGCTTGTGAAAACCAGTGAGTACGGATTTGTGTACCTTTTGGTTCTGGTAGCTCAAATTCTAAGGATCTCTCTCTAAATTGTCAGAGCTTCCTCATCTGTTCATACTTTCAATGTCCGTTTGTGTAGGGTGTTTAATCTCAAGCATTCTGCCTGTTGAACATTGGTTACCATGGGTGCCTAAAGAATGTGGCTGCGTTTGGCCTGTCACCGTAACCTATAGTCGGGATGCTAGGCTAAGGTGTCTCCTGGGCCCTATTCAGGAACCTTGACACATTTGCCTGTTCTACAACGTCGGTCTGGCCAGACCCGTGGCTCCACTCTTATATGCATTAATCACTTGTTTCATCTGTAACACGTTGAACTCCATTTGGTTTCTTTGTCAGACAACCTGTTGTCCAGCATGTCAATCTGGACTTTTCAGGCACCAACTCTCAATGTGGCCTTCTGCACAACCCTGTTTCTACCTGACCTCAATGAGGTTGCACTTGCAGAAGCCCCTGGCAGGAACTTTAGACTTTAAAAGGTGCACTTAATTACGATCACACTAATTTCTCGAGCCATTGTAAATAAGACTTTGTTCTTAACCCTAAAAGCCTGCCTGGCGACTCAAACTTGCTCTGCTCTATTGTATCAAAGGGCCAAACAATTTAAACCCCCCCCCCCTTTTTTGGGGGGGTGGGGGGGACTTTGTCAATTAACTAGTTACTGACAATTTTTGTTTATATGGAGGAATTAAAAATCTTTAATAGTGAGTTTTAAGGTGACAATGTGGACTCCATAGTAAAAGGTTTGATAAAAGCAGTACATTTGGTAGATGTCTCCTGGTTTTGGGGGATCTGTGATCTGTTGCTATCCAGGATCAGATCGATCTGACTGTTTTTGAGCTGGTCTTTCAGAAAATCTGATCCAGATACCTCAAGATCACAGAATCCAGTTTTTGAGTGCTTTGAGCAGGCCTACACCTTGCCATCTACTGGACATGTGGTACTTCTACACTGTCATAGGGAAACATGAGTAAACTATACTGAATAAAAATATTCAGTATAGCCTCCTACATAGATTTAGAGTGTTTGGCAGTACGTCCAACCGGCCTCACAACCGCAGACCACATGTAACCAAGCCAAACCCAGGACCTCCACGGCCGGCTTCTTTACCTGTGGGATCGTCTGAGACCAGCCACCCGGACAGCTGATGAATAAATCCCTTTTGTGGGGAAAAACTCATTCTGATTGGCTGGGCCTGGCTCCCCAGTGGGTGGGGGCTAACGTTACGTGTGTGATCTGTGTAGTAATATTATTCGTATCTCAGAAAGCCATTTGCATTGCTAGTTATAGCCTAATGTTAGCTAGTTAGCTAACATTGAACCTAGTTGGTTAGCTTTATCTACCTGCAGATTCATGCACGGTAGTATTGCGTAGTTCAAAACAACTGGGAACTCGAGGTCAAATCATGATGTCAGTGATCTTCAGGTCTGAAATTCAGAGCTCTAGAAAGAGGCCCAAGTTCCCGAGTTGGAATTCCAAGTTGGATGACCGTTCAAATAGTTTTTCCCAGTCGGAGCTAGTTTTTATAAATCCAAGATCCCAGTTGTTTTGAACACGGCATTAGAGTTGGGATTATGGTTCATTGTTTAGCTAGCTAGCTAGCTACATGTCTAATCAAAAGACTCCACTATGCAAGTAAACAGTTCACTGTACCGTTTACACCTTCTGTATCCTGTGCATGTGACAAATAAACATAGATTTTATTTGATATAGTGTGTGTTTACCAGAGACAGTAATGTGAAGAACAACATGACCTGCACTAAAGTCAGATTAGGATATAGGCCAAGGACTAGATATTTTTACTACTACATTTTGCTACTACTTTCTTCACTTTTAGTCTTGAAATCTTTGGTTGTTTACTACACTGTGAATCCTTAAAGAGATGGGCGGGGCTAAGGTTTAAGAGGGTGTGAACGATGCTGAATGGGTGTAGACAAAGAAGAGCTCTCCAGTAGGTGTACCAAAACATTCATGGACATTCGGAGTATGTACTTTTATCCAATGTAAAATATGTACACTGAGGGAAAAAAGTATTTGATCCCATTTTACAGACACTCTTATCCAGAGCGACTTACATGAACAATTAGGGTTAAGTCGGCTCGGGAATTAGAACCAGCGACCTTTCGGTTACTGGCACAACGCTCTTAACCACTAAGCTACCTGCCGCCACTAATCCCCTGCTGATTTTGTACGTTTGCCCACTGAAAAAGAAATGATCAGTCTATAATTTTAATGGTAGGGTTATTTGAACAGTGAGAGACAGAATAACAACAAAAAAATCCAGAAAAACGCATGTCAAAAATGTTATAAATTGATTTGCATTTTAATGAGGGAAATAAGTATTTGACCCCCTCTGCAAAACATGACTTAGTACTTGGTGGCAAAACCCTTGTTGGCAATCACAGAGGTCAGCCGTTTCTTGTAGTTGGCCACCAGGTTGCACACATCTCAGGAGGGATTTTGTCCCACTCCTCTTTGCAGATCTTCTCCAAGTCATTAAGGTTTCGAGGCTGACGTTTGGCAACTCGAACCTTTAGCTCCCTCCACAGATTTTCTATGGGATTAAGGTCTGGAGACTGGCTAGGCCACTCCAGGACCTTAATGTGCTTCTTCTTGAGCCACTCCTTTGTTGCCTTGGCCGTGTGTTTTGGGTCATTGTCATGCTGGAATACCCATCCACAATCCATTTTCAATGCCCTGGCTGAGGGAAGGAGGTTCTCACCCAAGATTTGACGGTACATGGCCCTGTCCATCGTCCCTTTGATGCGGTGAAGTTGTCCTGTCCCCTTATCACAAAAACACCCCCAAAGCATAATGTTTCCACCTCCATGTTTGACGGTGGGGGTGGTGTTCTTGGGGTCATAGGCAGCATTCCTCCTCCTCCAAACACGGCGAGTTGAGTTGATGCCAAAGAGCTCAATTTTGGTCTCATCTGACCACAAAACTTTCACCCAGTTCTCCTCTGAATCATTCAGATGTTCATTGGCAAACTTCAGAAAGGCATGTATATGTGCCTTCTTGAGCAGGGAAGCCACTATAACTAAAAAATAACTAACAAATGTAAATAAATATTTAGATTCCATTCAATGTCTATACCAAGTTGAGAGTCTCATCTGTCAGATGTAATTTGAACTGACTTGATATCCTGTAGTGCTCCAAAGTTAGAGCTAAAGGTCTGAAGGCACCAGTACCCATATCTCCTATAATGTCCATATTGGTGCTATTTTAGGTCGTACCGGTACATCTGATTAGCTCAATTGCCAATTTCTCAGCCTCTGAGTATCACAGAAACACAACACTTTGAATGAATAAAAGTTGCTATGGATGAAATGGTTCAAAATAATTATTAAAAACCTAAAAAAACATACAAAAACATCACATTTTAAAATCAAATTTGACTAAAAGGGAATTTGAACCATTTACTTGTATGACAAAAGGTTAATAAAATAAAGTGTTGGTGTTTGACAGAAAGAGTCATTTTTTCCATCATTTCCAATTTGGGGTTAAAAATGTTGGTTTTTTTAGGGTTAATTGACTTGCCTGGTTAGATGAAGTTGCATGAACTTCTAACGCGGCTGCATGGGATTTGTCATATTGTATGTACTGTATAGGTTTACTGTATAGGTTTAGTGTATAGGTTTACTGTTTAGGTTTAGTGTATAGGTTTACTGTCTACTGTAGGTTTAGTGTATAGGTTTACTGTCTACTGTAGGTTTAGTGTATAGGTTTACTGTCTACTGTAGGTTTAGTGTATAGGTTTAATGTATAGGTGCACTGTACTGAGTTTTACTGTGTAGGTGTACTGTGTAGGTTTCCTGTATAGGTTTACTGTATAGGTATACTGTAGGTTTACTGTATAGGTTTACAGGTGCACTGTGTAGGTTTACTGTATAGGTTTACAGGTGCACTGTGTAGGTTTACTGTGTAGGTTTACTGTATAGGTATACTGTAGGTTTACTGTATAGGTTTACAGGTGCACTGTGTAGGTTTACTGTATAGGTTTACAGGTGCACTGTATAGGTTTACTGTGTAGGTTTACTGTATAGGTTTAGTGTATAGGTTTAGTGTATAGGCTTACTGTCTACTGTAGGTTTAGGGTATAGGTTTACTGTATAGGTGCACTGTACCGAGTTTTACTCTATAGATTTACTGTGTAGGTTTACTGTATACTGTAGGTTTAGTGTATAGGTTTACTGTATACTGTAGGTTTATTGTATGGGTGTACTGTATAGGTGTACTCTATAGGTGTACTGTGTAGGTGTACTGTGTAGGTTTCCTGTATAGGTTTACTGTATAGGTATACTGTAGGTTTACTCTATAGGTTTACTGTGTAGGTTTACTGTACTGAGTTTTACTTCACTTGATTGTGATTTAGACTGAACTTTACTTGATGGTGACTTCACCTTGAGGTGATTTCCCTCTTACATGATCTTATTTGACATTTAAGCTTTGACGGAAGAAACAACTCCTAATTAGTTGTTGCCCTGTGCTGGGTTTACTTCCTTCGCCAGGCTACATAAAGTCCAAGGTCATGCGGTTGTACGTAAGCAAGCACTTTTTTAACCCGTAGCTCAAGGGGTTGACAATGCCTGGGCATG